AAAGGAAAATTGTTTCAATGTGTTGCAATTCAAAGAGAAAGTGAAAAATACATTATTACTAGACAAGAAACAAGAAAAAATAGCTGATACTTCTTGTCTATCTTTTTATTGTAGCTGCTAAGAAATCCACATTTTGTATGGCTGTTACATATTGAAATTATTTGTTAATTTGAATTCTTTGTGTGATTGTATTTATATTGACATTCACTGGTATCTATTGTATTAAACACACATGTTCATGCTGAAAGAAGCCTGGTTTTACACTAAATAAGCAAACACATTTTTTTTGTGTGTGTGGTACTGAGGAGTGAACTCAGGGACCTGGGCATGCTAGACTATGACTGTGGTTATCCTGTATTCTCAACCACTCTAACGTTCTATTTTGTGAGAATATTTCATTGAGTTTCCCATTGTCTCTCTAAGTTGCCTCCTTCCTCAGCCTCCCCAGTACCTGAGCTACCAGGCTGCTGTGATCTTTTTGTTGTCTTAGAATTACATTTATTTTTTTTAATTTAATGGATGTGGGCTGTGTGCGTGTGTGAGTGTGTGTGTGTGTGTGTGTGTGTGTGTGTGTGTGCACACACGCATGTGCACACACGTGTGCACATGGGTGGAGGTCAAGGGACAGCTTCGGGACTTGGTTCTCTCCTTACACTAGTTGGATCCCAGGATTGAACTGAGGTCATTAGGCTTGATTGCAACTTCCTTTACCCACTAAGCCATATTATGATCCTGCATCCTAGTAGGTTTTCAGTAAAGAGGTGACTGAAGTGAATAATCCTGGTGGAAGAAAAACAATCTCCAATGCCAGACTGGAAATGAATAAATGGATGGAGAACAAAAGAAAGGGGAAGTGAATCATAAATATAAATTAACAGTGACTGGGTAAATATATTTTATAAATATCCCATGTGGAGAATAAACACATAAAACATGAAGTACCAAAAGGCAAAAGGCATCATTGGGTTAAGTGTTACAGCCTCACTTTAAATGTTATAATACCAATCGTATTATTTTTTAGTAAGTCAAGGTTAGATGTTGATGTATTATAGTTAATATAGTTAACAATTATGATTATAATTTTAAAAGCATAATAACTGGCATGTTAATTCAACAGGAAGATTAAAAACATGTTGTTCCAAAATAAAGAAAAGATGAAGGAATGAAAGGGAACAAGTTATCGACGAACACCAAATAAATAGCAAGCAAGTGAGGGTGTTTCTTCTTCTAAAAATTCATGTCCAGTGCTCTCAAATTCCTTAGGAAGTATGCTAAAGCTACACAGTCGCAAAGAAAATGGACAGAGTTTAGATCACTCTCTCCCTAAATTTAAGAAGAAATATCACATATAGAATTGAAAATTAGAGATAGGTATTAAACTTTACTAGTCTGATTGATTGCTTTTAAGAGGTTACCTCTACTTCATCAGGATCTTTTATACTTAATTTGTACAGTGAAATTTTATGGCAGAGGGAAGGTAGTCTTTGCACAAAGTCAAATAGTAAGACTCACAGCACACTGTGATACTTTGGGAAAGGGGAAAATGGAGGAAGGAGAAAAAAGTCTTGTTTTCTAGCCTGTTGTTAGCTAGCATGGCATTCTCACATACCGAGGTTTTTATCAATACCAACTGCAATCAAGTTATCACATAACATACCACTCAGCCAACCCTGCATATCATCTTTCTACCAAATTCAGCAACAAATAAGTGGTAAAGTTCCTTGTGGATTATTTACAGCATTCAAATTTCATTTTCATCACTTTTTCACCATCAAATCTTGGCTGAGGTCTATGTAATAAAAAAGACCAGTTACAAACAGTAACAACACCCTTCCACTGGTACTAAGACTCATATGATAACATGTGCTTGTTATCATTAATTTTGAACTAATTTAATAATTATGTATTGCATACTAATGTGCTAATCATTGTTTTAGAAAGATTTTCCTGAGTATGTGATGTTTGGCATATCCTCTGTAAAGATGAGCAGTCAATCATTTGTTTAATACGTATATACTGACCATGAGCACTAACCAGACATTTTGTCAGGTGTGGTAAGTCCTATGTTGGGTTGTTTCCTGGTTTTATTTGGTTTTAATATATGGCAAAGAGTTACTAAATGTTATGATAAAACACCATGGCCAAAATCAACTTGGGGAAGAAAGGATTTATTGTAACTTAAAGTTCCATATCACAGTCCATTACTGTAGCACAAAAAAATTAATAAATAAAATAAAAGACCAAGAGACTGATATTTTGGCTCAAGCTTCAAGCTGACTATCAGACAAGCAAACCAGCCAAGCCAGTAGATCTTACCTCTACCCAGCTGAAATGGCAATCCTGTCTCCAGGAATCCTCAGAGACAAAAGCTCTCAGTTTCTGTCTCCTGCCTTCTATTCCTCTCTCCACCCAGCCATATCACTCCTGTCTCCACCTCCCTTGTACTAGGATTAAAGACGTGTGATCCCAGGTGCTGAGATCACCTTTGTGTGAGCTGTTTCTTCTAGGACTGGATCAATGTCAAGTAGTCAGTGTGGCCTTGAACTAACCTCTTAATCCTGACTACTGGGATTAAAAGTCCGTGCCACCACTGCCTGGCTAACTAGTATGGCTGCTTTGTTATTTTTATCTCCAGTGGCTTTAATAAATCACAAACAATATATCACCACACATTACTGAAGGAAGACAAGGCAAAAGGCAAAAAACCAAAGGGAAGAGCCAGGAGTACTGAAATAATGCAGAGACGATGGATGATCGATCCTGAGTGGCTTGATTTTCATGGTTTGCTCAGATTCCTGTCTTGTAGCACCCAAGATCACCCACACAGGGGTGGCATTGCCTACAGCCAGCTGAGCCATCCCACATCAAAAATAAATCAAAAAATAATGCACTACAGGCTTGTCCACAGGTCAATCTGGTGGGGGCATTTTCTTAATTGAGGATCCCTCTTCCCAAATGGTCCCAGGATGGATAGAAATTCATTAGCTAGGAGAACTTCTCTATAGAACAAGGATGACTTCCCACAGAAAAATAGCCAGCACAGGGGAGAGAATACAGATGCAAGTTGGTCATGTTGAGGACCCATCTTTGTTGAGATAGGTAAGTTCAGACTGAATCTCGGAAGAGAGATGAAAATATAAAACCAAGAACTGGGATACAAATAATAACCTAGACTACGAGAGGAGATAAGCTGTAGGACAGATGGACATGATGGCCCAGACAGACAGAAGCTACTGAGACGACAAGAACACAATTATGAAAGAGCTGTACCCAAGAAGTGGTTTGTAAGATGCAATGAAGGAACAAGCAGGAGTGTCACAGGCAGAAGAGCTGGCAGATGTTCAAATGTCTTAGAGAGTTTTCCAGGAAAGCACACGAGCGTCTGAAAGTCATGTCCTTTTGTTGCCTCATCAGTAAGCCCAGTAATTCTCTTTTCCTCATTTCTACATCTTAACAGGTCATCCTGCTGTTGGTCGACAGCTGCAAAGCCCACAAAATGTACAAATCAAAACACAGGGGTATACACACAACTCTAATGATCACCTAAGCAATAAAGCCGTGTGATTTCATCCTGAAGAATAAACGTTAGGGATTCTTGATTGTGTAAAACAAACTGGCAGCTAAAGAGTGCCAATAGCATCCAAGGAAGTTCAAACTAGGATTCATGGAAATTATCCGTGAGGACATGGAGGAGATAGGACACAAGTTTCCACTACACCAGTGTCACCACTGGGTTTTCATCAGAGGGTCCTGGTCAATTTTTTGTGTCTTTTTTATTGGTATATATTACTTGTAGAAAACAACAGATTTCATCACGGCACTTTCATACACATGCTATACAGTATGATTGTATTTACTGCCTCATTACCTTCACTTAACTCTCCTCCTCCTCCTCCTCCTCCTCCTGGTCCTCTTCATTTCTCCCAGTCTCTACTTTGTTTCCTTGTTTCTCCCCCCTCCCTGCCCCAAGTCACATAGAAAACATGCAATGCTAGTCTTTTCAGGCTCTGGGTCATGACATGGTAACTTCCTGTTCCAGGTACCTAGCTGCAAATGACTTGATTTTGTTCTTCTTTCTGAATAGCCTATGGTGTTCATATGCCATATCTTCTGTTGATAGACACCGAACTGATAATAGGACTCTTGCAAATAGCCCTGGCCATATTCTAATTAAACGAGGCACAAAGTATCCATATAAAACAACCCACAAATGCTGAGTCCTACTTAGGGATCCAAGGTTTCAATTTCACCTGCTGGAGCACTGGGCTGAGACTTCACCATAAGACAAAGAATAACTACTGTTAGAATAGCTGGTGTAACATCACATAGCAAAACTAGACGACCTCACTAAAATAACAGGAACTACCTTGTTCACAAGGTGAACCGGCACCTGTTATTAAAAAGGCTAATAGCCAAGGCCTCATGGAGCCCTGGACTCATGACAGGTTTCAACATTTATAATGATTATGGCTCTCGGAAAATTGCAGGAATAATTTTATTCTGTAATGATTTTACTCACGTTTGTTTAATATTGTTAATACAAAAAGACGTTAGGGATCGTCAACGCTCTGACGTGACTTGATTTTAATCGTAGTACGCCTTCCTAATGTGCATTGGTGTCATTCCTTTTTCTAACCCACAAGGTGACATGCTTGTAGTCCGTTACAAATTACAAGGAAGAAAATGAGAAACAAAGGTAGTCCTTGAAAGAACGCCTGTGGATCTAAGTTCTATAGAAAATGCATCCCTTCCAAGGAAAACACACAGACACGATCACTCCTGTAGGCCACCTGCAAATGGTCCAGGTAGGGAAACTGCTAGGCCTGCAGGGACGAGTCCTCTGGTTCACAACAGAAAGGATGAAACAGCTTTTCAGCTGCAGAGCCACACACTGACAACAGAGCTGCTGGCATACAGAGGTGACACAAAGGGGATACGGGTGAGGTTGGTGGGGAAGAGGCTGTGGGGGGGTGGGGGCGCCCTAGGCCGGGAGGTGGGACCTGGGAGGGGGCCAGCGCCCCTGCCACTGACTCTCCGCTCCACAGATGCTCACGGAGAAGCTGCTGATAGCTGAGGCAGTGCTTCGCAGCAGATGGTAGATTCCCCATGGTGCAGCCTGGGTGCGGCAGGCGGTGCTGGATCGCACGGCCTGAGCCTGGAACGCGTAGGAGCAAAGTGCTTCCCGCGGGTGCCCGCACAGGGTCCGAGCTGTACTGCGGCGGCGCGGTTCCCAGGCAACGCCCAGGCAGGGGTAGAGCTGGCACCTGAGTCAGGCGCCCAGACCCAGAACCCGGATGGAAAGAAACAGTGAAGTGAGGCAGGGTGACACTTTTGTTTACATCCTCAGAACCTGGGGCTCTCAGGGCTGATTGCAGGTGCCCAACCACCTACTCATGCTGAGTCAGAGTTGTGGGAGAAAGGCAGAGGCCTCTCAGAGGAAGGAGCACAGGGCTCTCTGTGCAGATTTTCTTTCACTCCCAGCCACAAGCCTATAGGGTTGTCCCTCTGAATTCATCTGAGTTTGTCTTGTGTTAAAACTCTATTTAAAATCGTTGAGGCACTTTGCTATATTTAAAAAGCATAAACCCTGTAAGAGGGGATCCTAAATTATGGGAGATACTGGAGGTAAATAGCTCACCAAGAAGTTGTCAGTAAAGCTGATGAGGCAAGATAAATGTTGAAACGCTGAATCCTTTTCGTTGGTTTATGTTTATCGATTTTAGTGATTCTCTCTTTCCACTAATATGTGGGAGTCAGGGATAGAACTCAGAGGGTCGCTCTGCCTTGCCCTGGCCTCAAGTCCCTAACCATTTCCCTGGAAGAACTGTTTCTTTAAAAGAAATAGCACAATAACTGAAACCCTAAAGGCTAGATCCATTCAAACAAAAACCAGTTCTTAGGAGATTAGGACCGAGGATTTATATGGTAGCCTTAGACCAGGCAACCCTTCCTTCATTCTGCCTACTTCACAAACACTCTTGGATTGCAACACTGTAACAGTCTACAGCGTGGGTCTGTGTGTAGCTTGCCATTAATAAGACACAATCGTCAAGAATAGTCAGTTATGTGCAGGCATCCCTGCAGTCTCTCAGAGATCCGGTAGGGTGTCTATGGCCAAGATGCTAGCTGGCTCTACTGTTTCCACAGCTAGCAAGAATCAGGAGTGAACTGAACTGATGCACACGCTTGCACACATGATGGCATATACAAAGATTAACTTCTGAAGCATAATATGAACCAATTTTGAAGGGATTCAAGATCCAGACATAGTAAGGAATATTTTTATTAACTCTTTGAGAATTTCATACAAGGTATTTTGAACACATTCACTCCATCTACCCAAATCCTGTCAACCACCCTCTCCACCCATTCTGTCCAAGGTTAAGGTATCTTTTGTAATTTTTCTTTCCCCATCAAGTCCTGTGTGTGTTGTCCAGCCATTGTTGGGAATGGTGTGTTCAACCGAATCTTCCTCTCCAAGCAGCTATCACATGCTAATAGCTGCTCAGCTACTGCTGGGATTTCAGGCCCACCTCTCCCCCTCTAAACTGGAATTTTGTCAGTCTGGAGCCTGGGCTGCTCTTATGTATGCTCTTATAGTAGCTATGAGTTCCATTATGCAATTGCCCTGTTGTATCCAGAAAACACTGTTTCCTTGATGTTATTAATCCATCACCTTAGGTTCTTAATATCTTCATGCTAGCTTCCCTGAGCCCTGGAGCTCAGCATGTAATATATATGTCTCATTTATGGCTGAGCACTCAACATCTTATTTTCTGCTTGCAAGCCTAAAAAGGTCTAGGTAGCACAGAACTTCGAAGCACATTTAAGCTCTCCTCATTTAATAGGCTAACTAGGAATCCTGGCTCTGGAGAGATTGCTGCTTGCTTAATGGTTTGCCCAGTTCTCACAGAGGACTGGAGTTTGGCATCCATGGAGGGTGGCCCACAACCACCTATAATTTCTAACTCTAGGGAGATCTGACTCCTCTAGCCTCGAGGGAACCTCTACTCACATTCATATATACATGGAGTTTTTGTTTTGTTTTTTTTTGTTTTTAATTAAAGAAAATAGAAAATAGATTTATTTAAGTTAAAAAATAATAAGAAAGAAAGAAAGAAACTTGGATTCTAAATATAGTATCCTAGAATATGACTATAATCATAATCATATATAATCATAATCATATAATCATAGGAAGCTAAGGTAGAAAGATGGCCATTAGTTTAAGGCCAGCCTGGGCTACATAGCTGGTTTCAGGCCAGCCAGGTCCACAAAGAAAGACCCTTATCACACCACCAAGAATGAAACTTGGGCTTCACAGACTGATAGACATGACACCACTCAGCAACCACATAGATGTCTAATGCCATAGCTGGAACTTGAACTCTATTCTCTTTTAATTTTTTTAAAAATTAGTAACAAGCATGCTTCACATGTCAATGCCGGCTCCCTCTCCCTCCCCTCCTTCCCCAATCCCACCAACCTCCCAAGCACCCACCCCATTCTTTTGAGACCACACATAACTAAACTTTTGTTTCAGTACTTCAGTAGTATAAATATAAAAGGATATAAATAACCACTGAAAATTAAAATGAATTCGATTTCCTGTTTTCTTCAGTGATTTTATTGATTTTAAGTCATGTCTCAAAGTACCTATCTTTTCTTGAATTCTACCTTTTTTATGAATTTTTCTTGACTCTCTCCTCTCTTTAAGACCACCCAACCACCACCAAATCCGATCTGCCAATAAATATTTCAAACATCTTCACATATTACCTGCCCTTTTCCTACTGCTATGACTGTTTCCTGCCCATTCATATTTGGAAGATGGCACCACAATTCAGTGGGAAAGATTTTAGATCACCTGTGGTTAGGAGCCCTTCAAAGGACAGAGTGGCCTGGGGCAAGTTCTTTAGACTCTGTTTTATTATCTAAATGGGGTTATAATAAAAGTTCCTAGTAATTGCAAAATTCAAATGAACTACAATAGATGGTCTCCAGCACATACAAAGCACCCAGTTACTGTTAACTAAATCTGCAACAATAGAATAGCATAATTCATGTTTTTCAATGCCACCCGCATCATTGAAATTTTGAGTTTTGCAGTTCTTTATTGTGAAGACTATCCTGTGCATGGTAAGATTTTTCATTTTTATTTTATTTCCATGGGTGTTTCGCTGGTATAACCATGTCTGCACCACATGTGTACAGTGCCTGCAAAAGTGAAAAGAAGATGGTGTCAGCTCTTCTGGAACTGGTGTTAGAGATGTTGTAAGCCACCGTATTCATGCTTAATGAACAGAAATCGGGGCCTCTGTACAAACAGCCAGGGCTCTCAACAATAAGGCCATTTTTCCATCCCCATATGAAAATAATTGACCCTACCCACTAAATATCAGCTTATATGTAAAATCACCACTCCTAATAGACAGCTGCTGGTGTGGAGGAGGTTGCTGCTGCTGCTGCTGCTGCTGATGATGATGATGATATGATGATGACATTTGCTGAGCATTTAGCATGGACCACATACAATTCTAAGCACTTTCTGGGGGTGTTACCAATCACACAAGGAAGCTCTTGCAATTCTCATTTTGCAGATTAAACAGTCTGAACATAGAGACTATCAACCACTTGCAGCACAGACTGCTTAGTGAGAAAGCCAGAACCCAAACTTCAGTACTTTGACTTCAGTCCACGTCTTTAATTGTGATGCTTATGCTGCCTTGCTGAAATCACACTCAGCCAAATATATAACATTTCAGGCATAACTTCTTTTCCATTATTTCAAAATTTTAAACATTAGATGAGACTTATCAGAAATTTAAAACCTCTCAAGATAAGGAAACTGACTCCCTTTTCTACAAGTTGTTGAAATGACATCAGAAACCAGAATGTCCAGGCAGAGATCTAAATATCAGATGGAGTTAGGAGCCTGAGATCACATTTCGACAAATGTATATTTGACCATAAATATCAGAGACAGCCGTTCATCCCATACATTACAATCATTATTAGAAATATCAACAGGCTCTCATTATTTTTGTTATCAATAGTTCAGAAGGAATCTTTACATTGTTTTTAAAATCCAGGATTTATTCCATCTATCTCAGCACTTGTATATTTTACTTAAATCTTTTCACAAATAGCATCAGAAGATAGAGTTATAACCCAGGGTTATCTTAGCAGATGCAAGATCCTGAGTGCAGACCCCAGTACTGCAGCCATCATTATCATCCAGCAAAAATTCAATTTCTTTCCCCACCTCTCTATCTTAGCCATATATGGAGTCTTCATATTTCTACACAAAATAATAATACCCAAAAAGCATAATTAAAGGTTTTGTCCCTGTTTGAATTGCTATGCATTTAGAAAAATGTGATTTTTTTCCTTTTGCTCTAAAACTTTGTTTTAAATTGTTTTAGGCTGATGACAGACCATTAAAAAAATACTGCCTAATTACAGAATTTCTAAATCTAATCATGCAGTTTCTATAATTTGAAATACATAGAATATTTTATTTGCTTTCATATTTCTAAAGAAGTATATGGAAAAATAGCAATTATAGTAATCTATACTTATAATTATCAATTGATTTGCATACACTAGGCATTAGCATACAAGTTTTTCATGTGCTAACCCATGTAATCTTAATAACAGCCACCTCACATAGACTTCTTTAATACAGCCATTTTGATTTAGAGTTACAAAAACATCAACTTTTGATCACCAAAAGTAACCAAAGTGATTCCACCAATCTAATGACTCTGCTGCCTCAGACAGCTGTCTACATAGCCAAAGTGACCCATCTCCCCGGTGACTCAGCTGTCTAGAGATCAGTCTTAACCAAAGTGATAGAACTAGTCAGTGATTCAGTTGTCTCTAGACCCAGTTATTTGGCACCAAAGGTTTGCTGGTTGCAATTTATGTAGACTTCCTTTCTAATAGAGTGGAGGGATTACTACCAGATACTATCTCCCTCATTATGGTGGATAGATTAGAGCATGTATCTCACACACAATAGGCAAATGGCATTTATCTATTTGAACTATGCCATCTATGAAATTCCTGGCAGCACAAGGCTAAGACACTTTCTTTATTAATAAAT